GTATTTGGATTGAGATGAGATGAGTAGTAGAATTTTTTCGGGTGGAGAGGTTTGGGAGGAATTTGGGATTTAGTTAGATTTAATACCTCTTTATGGATGTCAGTTTCTAAAGCCCTTTGTAACTACGAGTTGAGTGTTATTCTTTTGGATTGAGATCCTTTCTTGTAGGTCGTTACCATTTTGTTGGGCTTGGTTGTTGTGTTCATTTTATATATTCTTTCATGTTTCTCAATGATAGTTTGGTTTCTTCTCAAAAGAAGGAAAAAAAAACTGAAGCAACATTTGAAGCACATTCAAAGCATCTACATGAGAACTATTTACAATTCCGTGAGTTCAAGTTAGTTTCTTGAGAGTGGAAAGCTGTCTTTGTTCTTTCGTCTTCAAATCATTTCTTTTAAAGGACTCTGTGGGTGGGAGGGGTGGTGGAGCTATACCTTAACTTCTAATTTTCGATTGTATCCTATAGAAATGAAATGAGAAATCGATTGTCTTAGCATCGTTTTTCTCCATGGAAGTGGGGGAATAAGGATGGCCGGATGGGGGAATAGTGGATTCAATAATGGAGGTTGTAAAAATGATGGAATTCAAGGATCAAATCGGGTTTGTGGATTATGTAGTGAAGATGACACAAGGGAAGTCTAATCTCAGACTGTTAGCTGTTAATCTTATCACATTCCAGGTGATTATTTATTTTGTTACTTCTTACTCCTGGTTGCTATTCTCTAACGGATGTATTTCCCCAATGGCACGATTTTTGGTTGTATTTAAGTTACGGTAGGGGTTCTTTGCATTTATGCTATTCTCTAATTGTAAAAAATTAATAGGTATCATTACTAAGATATTTTTTATTTCATTTGAGTTGATGAACTCCAAAAATGAGCTTATGTAGTTTGTTTTATAGAACACGTCCAGTTTCATGTAAATTTGTGTTGGTATTCTTCCTCTTGTTGCTAATGGAAGAATAAAAACATGAAAATTCGAGAGCCAAGAAGAGATAAATTCTGGATCGTGTAATTTGACGAGGATTTGTAGGTAGACGTTAATGTCGCATCAAAATGTTATGTGGCGTAATTTGAACTTTTTAAAGCTGATGGACTAAAGACATACATGATATTCACAAAAGCACGAAGATTAAGGAATGAAAATTATTTTTTGTCAGTTGGATGGTTATTGAAGCATCAAACAAGATCAAGGTATGTGTAGTGGAGTTTTTTAGAATTTTGGAAAAAAAAAATTAGTAAAACATTATGCTTGTTGACATGGTGTACTAACTACCAGGATATTGACAAGTTTTTATGGCAACAAATCAGATTGACATTCTTGATCAGCCTCTTCTCAGACCTAGATGAATTTATGGAAAAATTGAGTTCTCAAATCTAAATGAGGAGGTACGTAACTGTGTTAAACATCCTGGTTCAACTATTTTACTCTCTCACATTTTGAAGTTGGGGCTTTAACTAGATTTTTTCTCAAGATATTTTTGTTGAAATATGGAATCAAAACTTATTTTTATGAGTAATATGTTTGATCAAACTTAAATAGAATCGAGTTTTTGTAGCGGTAGAGTATGCATCTTATTGAGTTCTAGTTCTTCTAGCTTATAAGATATAATTCTTGCAGGTTCTTCTTTAGTGAACTTTTTCTTTTGCTCTTGTATCTCTGCATGTGGTAGAAAGCTCATCATTTGAAAGTCATGAAATCCAAAAAAGATCAAGTAACTAAGTCTTTTCTTGTTATTATATTTGCTTCCCTGATCTTGTGGTCGTTCTTCAAGAGTTTGAACCAACTACTTAAAAGGAAAAGTTGGAGATAGAGGAACTTTTCGACACGACACAAAGAACTACCATTAGATGTGAGTCAGGTTACACACTCACCATCACATCCGTTGTTTAGAAAGCATATAAAGTTGGACTTTCACTATGCCCAGGTTGGTTTTCAGCCTTATCTTTATTTTTGTACTCAAAATTTTAGCTTCACCTTTATATATATGTAGTTTGATGTTATAGTTAAAGAGGTAATGATCAGGTTAGTTAGTTTGATGTTATAGTTAAAGAGGTAATGATCAGGTTAGTTAGATATATATATGTTAGTTAGATGTTGTAATTTTTCATGTTTTGGTGCTCACTTATTTTTGGACTATTAGCTAAGCCTACTTCTCATCCATCTTTAATGCTTAATGGGACTGTTGGTTTGTTCATCTGGTGAAGTGCATATAAAAATTTGCTTATGTGTACTTCAATTTTAGTAAATAGTTAATACTTTGTGTGTTCACTGTTAAATATAATTTTTTTATTAGATTGTTTTCTTTCAACTCTGATACATTTTGAAGTCTAGACTAATAAGTTTGAGTATGTAGCTGAGCGTATAGCTGTTTTGCACATGAACTTCATGAAAATGAATTATATGTGTCATGCATATAATATAAAGTCTAAAGTCTAGTTGGATAATTGTGTGGCTATCCTGCAGCAAGATAGCCAATTAAGACTTGGAGTTTATATGTGTCATTACGTAATGCATGTTGGACTTAGAAAGAAAATGGGGGAGTTAATATTAATATTTTCTTAACTGTTCGTTTTATTTTGTTGAATGAATAGCTTGTGGGAGCAACATTTTGAGAAATGAGAATGTACAGGGAAGAGTTTCGGCGTATTTTTTCGACATGTACAAGGTTGATGTAATGTGAATATAGTTCATTGGGCATTATCTTATTGTAGTCATAGACTTATAGTATAGTATTTGTATAAAATATCCTAATGTACAAATTTAATCAGACTTTGATCTTATTATACGCAACTTGGTTACATTTGTCGCAACGTGATCGCGATGCGGAACGACCGACGTCCTCTTTTAAGAGTCTTAAATAAAGAATTTTGAAGTCGTCACCAATCATGTTGAGGGTGTGATTGGTCACCCAATTAGAATAAAAAACAAATTGGTCTGCATAATTTAGATCGAGTTCGGGAGTCACTTGTGTGTAGGGATGGTGTTAGCACCCTACAACACCCGAGAAAACGATTGTCAGTATTTTATTTTTTATTATCCAATTTATTAAATTATTGAAGGTCCACAAAAAGAATATTTATTTTATTTTTAAATGTCTCATGTTTATTAATCCACATTTTAAAAATAAAATATAAATTAATTACTATGGGTGACATAAATGTCATTCAAAATATTGAAATATATTTTTAGGAGAAATTTCATGTATTTAACAAATTAAAAAAAAAAAACATTGATCAATCTCTCCGTTTTATTTGTTAAGAAAATTTGTGAGCGAATTTAATTTAATTTTAATTGTTTACTGAAAATTTTGCTTTTAATTATTGAAATTCAGTTTAGAATGGAAATTTCATGTATTTATGGAATTTATAAAATCCGAACACTATTTTTTTCCAAAATTAGGGAAATAATTTTACCAGAATTTTCACGTATTTATGAATTTTTAAAAAAATTTAAAATATTACTAATTCTCAAATTTGAGTTTTTATTGGTTTTTTAGATTTTTATAAAATTAATTTTGGTGAAGAATTTCATGTATTTAAAAAACCATAAAAAAAACACTACTCAATCCCAAAATTAAATATTTATTGTTACCAATTTATTTTCAAATTTAAAAAGCTAATTATGGAATAAAAAGAAAATGTATTTATATATCAAAAAGTTACTTTCTTCACTTGCAATTTTGAAAATTAGAAAGAAATCAAATTCAAACTAATAATATCTACAAAATGAGAAGATGTCATGTATTCAAAATTCAAACACAAGGAACCAATCTCTGAAATTAAGCAAATCAAGATTAAAATCAATAATAAATGATATCAATATTACAGAGAAGCATGTTACAGTGCATAACAAAAATCAAATACAAACAACTATCTCATAAACGATAATTTGATTTAACATTTTGAAATAATGGCAAGTGTTTCCACAATTTACAATAGGGTAAAAAAAAAGGAAATTTCAAACCTTATAACAAATGTTGAGTTCAACTGGAAATGAGTTGGTGGAGTGAAAATACGAGGAGATGAAAAGAGCATTTAGTTTAAAAAAACATGGAGAGATGAAAAGATATGGCGAATATGTTAGGGTTTTATCTCTCTGTTTTGTGTGCTTCTTCCTCCCCTCTTTATTCCGTGTGTGTTTTTCTTTGGAGATTGCAAGATTTGGAGAGAATTTTGAGAAAGCCTTCCTTACAAGAGAAAGAAAATAGAGATTATGAAGGGGTGATGAGAGAGATTTTGGAGAGAACCCCTTAGAGAATTTGATATTCTCACCAAATTGTTAGCGACCTCCCCTTCACCATTGATATGAAGTTTATCTATAATGGAACAAAATATAGGATGTGAGAGAGCGTTGATGGAAGAGGAAGAAAAAAATGGTGAGTGGGAAAGTTAACTTCGAAAAAAGTAACGTGTCAAGCTGAAAGAGAGGAAAAGATGAGATAGTTGGGAGATGAGGAGCAGTTAACAAACTAACATGGAGATTGGAGAGAGAAATAAAAATTTGTTGGGAGGAGGGAGAATGTGAGAGTGAGAGAGAAGTTACGAGAAAGTGGGAATTGTTACGTAGTTGGAGAGTAGGGGAGAGAGAATGAGAGAATTGAGAAATGAGGGAAATATGGGTATAGGTGTTTGGAAGATATGTTAATTTAAATAACAAAACCTAATTCAAGTTAATTTTACTTTCGTTATATTTATAATTTTTTTTTTGTAATTTATAATAACAAATAACAAACAACAAATATCAAATAAAAATTAAAGTTACCCAGACGAAATACGGTATCTATAGTTTGTCCTCTTTTAGATCCTTGCAATATTAAAAGGTAGACAAAGGACTAGATAAAGTATTTGGATGGTGGCATTGTATTTTTATTTGATGAAGGTGATGGCTTGATTTGATACGACCCAGCTTTAGGGCAAGGTTTGAGAATAGTAGACTTCGATAGTCTCGAGCTGCAACCTCAATTTCAAGACTGGGTTCAATTTAATAGAAGTTTAATAATAGACTTCGACCTCAGCTCTAGGACTGGATTCGATTTAACCAAATTGAAGATAGACTTTGACTTCAGCTCTAGGGCAGGGCTTGAAAAACAATGGACCTGTATAAACGCAGGCTTCGACCTAAGTTTCAGGATTAGGTTTGATTTAACAAACATTTGAGAATAGATTTCGACCTCAACTCTAGGGCAGGCTCGAAAATAAAGTTTGAGAAGTTAACTTCAAACTCAACTCTAGGGCAGTGCTAAAAAAATGTTGGACCTGGATGGACGCAGTCTTTGACCTTAGTTCTAAGATTGGGTTCGATTTATCCAAATTGAAGATAGACTTCGACCTCAGCTCTAGGGCAGGACTCGAAAAACATTGGACCTGGATGAATGCAGGCTTCGACCTCAGTTCTAGGACTGGGTTCGATTTAACTAAAAGAAGATAGACTTCGACCTCTGTTCTAGGGTAGGGCTCGAAAAACATTGGACTTGGATGAACACAGGCTTCGACCTCAGTTCTAGGACTGGGTTCGATTTAACCAAATTGAAGATAGACTTCGACCTCAACTCTAGGGTAGGGCTCGAAAAACATTGGACTTGGATGAACGCAGACTTCGACCTCAGTTTTAGGCTAGGTTCGATTTAACCAAAAGAAAAGATAGGAAGAAGTATATGAAATTGTTAAGGGAGAAAAAAAAGTCAGTGGTACATGACAGAAGGTGATTAGATAGAAAGATGGAGTTTGCAGACATGGAGAAATAAAATTTCGACCTCAGCTCTAGGACAGTAGGGATCAAAAAGATTAGACCTAGATAAACACAGGCTTTAACCTCAGTTTTAGGACTAGGTTCGAAAACAAAGTTTGAGAAGTTGACTTCGACCTCAGCTCTAGGGCAGGAATCGAAAAGCAATGGAGTTTAATGCAGGCTTCGACCTCAGCTCCAGGACTGGGATCGATTTACATAATATTTGAGGAAAAAAATGAAGAGGTAGATGAAAAGGTTGAGGGAAAAAAAACAATTGGTGGACGAGAACAAAAGTTGGTTACATAGAAAGATGGAGCTTGCAGACATGGAGAAATAAAATTTCGACCTCAGCTCTACGACTAGGTTCGAAAACAAAGTTTGAGAAATTGACTTCGACCTTAGCTCTAGGACAGTAGGGATCGAAAATATTAGACCTGGATAACGCAGGCTTCGGCCTCAATTCTAGGACTGAGTCAAATTTAACCAAAATGCAATGACCTTGCTTAGAAAGACTTCAACCTCGATCTTGAATCAGGTTTGATTTAATGAACATGGGCTTGGTGCACGCTTCAACCTCAATCTCAGATTGGGTTGGATTTAACCAAAATAAAATTTATTTTGCTTAATAGGGTTTCAACCTCACGAACTTGGAACGAGTTGGATTGAATTAACTTGAGTTTGGCGCAAGCTCCAACCTCAATCTTGGATTGGGTTGGATTTAACCTAAATGTTGAAATGCAACTGAGGTAATGTGGATTATTATGAAGGTCGCTGCCTAATTGTAGGGTTTAGAAATCTTCCTAATAGAAAATTTTCAAAATGCATCAAATATGGGCTTGACAAAGTAGTATTGTCTAACACCCTAGTGTTCATGCAAGTGCAGAATATCATGTGAATGACATGTGTAAATTAGATACATGCACTTGCAAATGTGCATTACCCCAATGTTTGCAATGGTAAGTAATAAGCAAATGAAAAGTGACAAGGTATTGACAATGTATCTAATTTTGCTTTGACTCAAATAATGGATTAGACTTTGAAGGTAAGATATAACTATGCATATGCATGTTAAAGCTAGATGAATGTAACATGTATGCACAATTTAACTGTGATATGAAAATAAGTTTTTTTGGAAGATATTTTTAATGATTTTCATGAAAATAGTGATGCAAGTGATGTAAATGCATGGTTTGTGAATAAGGAATTATTGATGAATGTCCAGTCAGTTTGGAATATTAAGCCCCTTTGTGCTAGTGCAGAAATGTTGTCATTATGAATTTTATGGCTTGATGCAATGATAAAGCCTGTAACGTCCTTTTAAACTTTTTGGAGTAGAAGCTATATGCAAGTTAAAGGACTGCTCATGAGCATGAGAATTACTTTTAAGAAAATATATACCGACAAACATTTTGTTGACAAATCATATTAACACTTTTGATTTTTCTAAAAAGAGGAATTTTGATGATGCATGTAGAACAAATGACTTCTTTTGGATTTGAATTTGCCACCATATCATGCATGAAAAATAATTCGACTAAAATTTATTCATGATTAATGCAAAAGAGGAAATGCTTGTGATTCATGATAATTCATGCACCATAATTTTGATATGACTAAACCAACGAACTTAAGCCAACTGCTCCGTTCGTATTAATGATAGTGCACACGTATGTTAAAGATCAGGCTAGTGTATGAATGCACAAATGGTGAATTTAATTTACGCATGAGACTCATGATGACTAAATGAACTTGAACTAACTGCTTCGCTACTAGCGTCGGCAATAATGCATATGTATGTTAGGACAAAACTAGTTTACTGATGCAAATATGGTAAATATGATTTATGCATGAGACACATGATGCATTTTAGTTATGGATAAATGAATTTGAGCTAACTTCTTCCAATGACACCAGCAACAGTGCATATGTATGATAAGACAAAGCTAGTCTACTATACACAAATGAAGGTGTCTCATGATATATGTTAAACACTTAAATTTTAAAGTGATTTTGACTAAGATTTTTTGTTGTTTTTGCAAAGTTCTTTTTATTTTTATGAAATTCAATGCAG